CCCTTGAATTTCGAAATTTACATGGTAATTTTTGGGTTTTTTTTATTTTGGATAATTGTTACCTAATTGGATAATTGAGAAAAACAAGGAAATTATCCTATACCCTATTTTTCGAAATCTAGAGGGATATGGATTAGGATTAAATTAAATGTTTAATTTAATTAGATAATCTTTACAAGATTTAATAAATTAAATAAAAGTTAATTTATAGATAATTATTAAATCTAGTTATTCGGTTTATTTTAAATTTAAATTAAAAGTTTAGTTTTCGAAAATTATAGATAAACCCCAAAGTTTTAAAAGGTTTAAAACACACCTTATGTATGTATTATAATTAAAAGTTAAATATTATATATGTATAAGAATATGGTCAGTCAAATCGCTAGTATACTTCATTCACGAAGCTAGTCTATAAGGGTGGTATAAGGAAATTGCATATAAAATGGTAGTTGAATGGGTGTCCTATCTCACCCACCGCTTCCTTGGTTAGTGGAGGTTCGTTAGCAGAACGGATTTGATAGGACAACTAAATTTCATTAAAAGTATACTATTCTACAAAATCCCAACTCTAGTTACTTTAGGAAAAGTATGAAAAGTATGCTAGTCCATGCAATTGCACATTATGCTTTATTGGTCATTAGTGGCGTATGTGTGGTTTACCAACACACTAATAGACACTAATAAAGAGCAGTTAGGGGTATCTCATAATTATCATTTCGATGGAGTGTGTGTAGTTTATGGACACATCAATAGTTAATGATAAAGACAATGAGGTTACCAAGCACATTTGCATGGTTATTCACATCTTGTTTGTGTTCCTCGGTATCCCAGTCACAAATAGAAGAGCATAATCCAAGATTAAAACATGCCATTGAATAGTTCAATGTATCTCAAAAGGAATTAGGAATTTAACTTTGTTTGTTTCGTCTTATGGTGGAATTGGTGAATCGTTATTCACCTACCTTTATGAAATTTACACTTGGATCTCGGCATCCCATTTCTAAGTTATGAATAATCGTAGTTGGATCCTAACCTTGATATTGTATTTTTGGGTTACTATATTAAGGTTTCTTGAAATATAACTAAAACTATCTTTCTTTTCAGATGTCTACTCCTGGAAACACTTATGCTTCATCATCCTCCAACCACAACTTCACTTTACTCAACATTTTCTCCAAAGTCATTATGGATGGCTTTAACTATAACGATTGGATGCGTAACATCAAGATGGAGATTCGATTTGAGGACAAAGAATATGTCCTTGAAAAGGAGCTTAAAGAGCTTCATGAATCCAAAGCCACTCCTGAAGAATATGCTGCCTACAAGAAGCACTATGATGATGCTACCAAAATGGCATGCATCATGGTCGCAACCAAGTCCCCAAAACTACAGATGTACTATGGGGACTACTGGCCTTTTGAGATGAACACGGACCTTATGGAAAAGTACCATAAGTGAGGTCGTCAAGAAAAGTTTGAAGTAGCCAAGTCACTCATGGATTGCAAGATAAAAGAATGGGAGTCAGTTGTATCTCATGTGCAAAGAATGCAATGCTACATAGAGCGTTTGGTTAAGCTCAACATTCAATTTGATGAGGAATTGGCCATTGATATGGTCTTGAACTTGTTACCCGATTGTTATGGTCAATTTATCATGATGTACCATTTGAACAATACTGACTAGACATTGGCCCAATTGCACAACTTGTTGCAGACAGCTGAAGCAGGAGTGAAGGGTAAAAGTATATCCTCCACTCCTGCGAGTGATCCTATCTTAGCTATTGGACAGGGAAAAGGGAAAAAGAGGAAATGTCCTCCTAAGCAAAACTGGAAAGGAAAGGTCCAAGTTGGGTCATCTAGCAGTGGCCCAAAGGCTAAGCCCAATGCTACCATTCCCCATGTTTCTGATCCAAAGGATGCTGTTTGCTTTTATTGCAATGACAAAGGGCATTGGAAGAGAAACTGCCCAAAATATCTGCATGATATCAAAGATGGCAAAGTGAAGCCATCTTCAGCAGGTATTTACACAATTTCTTCTAACAACTAATTATCTTCTCGTTCATGGGTCCTTGATACATGATGTGGTTTTCATACCTGTTCTGATTTGCAGGGGCTAAAAGAAAGTGGGGAGATAGAGCGAGGAAGGATAAACTTGATCATGGGAAACAAGAAGTCTTCACCAGTGACCAAGATCGAAGTTTATCAACTTTTGCTTAGTAATGATGTTAGATTAGATTTATTGAACTGTTGCTATTCGTCTGAGATGACGAGAAACATTATTTCATTTCAAGCATTCTTCAAACAAGGTTTTAAATATTATTTTAATGATTTGAATGGTTCAATTTCTATTTATAAGAATGGTGTTTTTGTTTTTTGAAGCTTTACCTTGTGATGGTGTGTATGAAACAGTGACTTGTGTTGATAGCTTAGGAAGTAGTGTGTTTAATATTGACTTGTCTAATAGTGTAGACAAGGCATGCTTGTGGCATTGTCGTCTTGGACACATTAACAAGAAACATATAGCCCAACTCCAAAAGGACGGAATGTTGGAATCATTTGACCAAAAATCGGATGATATGTGCGAATCTTGTCTTTTGGGAAAGATGACAAAATCACCATTCATAGGTTCTTGTGAAAGAGATGAAGGTTTGTTCGACCTCATACATACAGATGTGTGTGGACCCTTCAGATCAACCACAAGAGATGCTAATCGATTTTATGTGACTTTCACTGATGATTATAGTATATATGGCTATATATACTTAATCAAACATAAGTCAGAAACCTTTGAAAAGTTCAAAGAGTTTAAACATGAGGTCGAAAATCAATTGGGTAGGAAAATAAAGATACTTAGATCCGGTAGAGGCGGAGAGTATCTTAGTATTGAGTTCCAAGACTATCTAAACGAATGTGGGATAATCTCAAAATTCACTACTAGAAAAACAGCCTTTTACGACGCTCATTGCGCGTCGTAAAAGGCTCAGACGACACGCAAATGCGCGTCAAGGAAGACCCTGTCATAAAGAGAGACGACGCGCATTTACGACGCTCATTTACGACGCGCAATCACGACGCGCGTTTACGACACACAATGCGTATCAAGGAAGGCCCTGTCATAAAGGAAGACGACACGCATTTGCGTGTCGTAACCTTACGACGCGCGTGTTAATGACACGCAATGCGTATCAAGAAAGCCCCTGTCAAGAAAGGCCATGTCATAAATGAAGATGACACACATTTTTGCGTATCGTAAATTTAAATATTTAAAAAAATATATATTTATATATTTATTAATTTTTAAATTAAATTTACATTTAATGTGTCATAATAGAAATAACATACCATATACAAAAAAATACAATCCATTGAATAAACTTTAATGTCATACAATTCTAATTCTTACAATATATAAATTTGCATTCATCTAATCTACTCTATGTTTCATACTAACAATTGAAATGAAGAATACAACACTTGCATTTTCAGCATCTTATCTCTTTCGGCTTGAGCTTTCTTTTCCACTTCTAACTCGAGAGCTATTCGCTTTCATCAACCCTGTAAACACAACACAAAATCACTTGTCATTTTCATTCGCTTTCCAATTTCCGTTGTGTGTTTTCCTATTTCCTTAGTTTGTGTACAATGGAGTAAGCAAGTGTGTATTGAAGCACCTTCCATGTAATAATACCCCCTTGACCAGTACTAGTATCAGAACATAAAGCACCTTTCTGCACAAAAAACAACAATAAGTCAACAAAGAGTCAACATGTTAGTTGCAGCCTTGTTTCTTCTTCTTCTTCTGAACTCATCTCTTGCAACCATTGCTCTATGCCTACTCTAAATAGATACAACAACTCCTTGTCAAAACATGTACAACCGGTTTCAATCAAGACACTTAATTAATCAAAAATTTCAATAATTAATTTATTTCCTTATTAAAGTTAGTTCTTTTACAGCTATATGTTTGAAGATATAAAGAAAAAAAATGTCAAAGGAGAATAAGGAAATACTGAATGGTAGAACCTCATTATTGTTATGCACACAATTATTCAAACCAGACAGCCAAATTCTAACAACTTCTCCAAGTGTTCTGTTTTCAATCCTGTCAAGCACAATTTTTTCACAAGTAAGGCAGAAGCATGGAAATAAATAAAAGTGGGCTTCTTGAATTATCCTTCATTTTGATAAATATACAAAGTTATATGATGTGTGTGTACCTAATGGGGCCATATCTTGGTCCACAATGGAGTACAAAAATGAAACATGATGCCTCTTCATAACCTCGAATTCCAGTCCTTCAAATTTCCAGCGTGCCATCTTCCTCCTTCAAAACAAGAAATATGGTGTCTTCCTTCTCAATTTGAACAGGAAATGACCATTTTGTGCCTTCATCATGGATCTATTAGATAAACAATATGTAAGGAAAATATCACTATAATAAATAGATAAAAATTGTATAATGAAAAAAATACACACACACACACACGAAGGACCCCTAATCACCTGTAGCTTGCTAGGTTGGTCAGTCTCACGGTAAACAATGAACTAGAAACCAAACTTAAGGGCTTTTATGAACCAAAAAGAAAGAGTAAAATCGAACATTTCTATCAAACTTAAAGGCTTTAATAAACCAGAGGGTAAAATTAAAATTAAAAAAAAAGTTGCAAATATCCGAATTTAATGAACCTAAAATCTACAAGAGGGTAAAACCGACAAAAACTTACAAACTTAAGGGTTTTTATGTCATTAGCCCTATATTTAAATGGTTTCCTTTAAATCTTCCATAAAATAACTTGTAGTAGTCGCATAAGAAAAAACTCGTGTTTTCTTGTATACGATATGCAAAATTCAAAAGTGGACTACCAAAAATTGCCAAGTTAGATTCATAACTTTATGTACATTTTGTTAAATAAATCATCCAATATAATTCAAATGAGACCAAAGAACTCTAAATATGTACTCAATTGAAATGAGAATCACGTTCCAAACCCAAAATACCCGGTCTAAATCAAATCTTTTCAGTTCTCTACCAGTTTAGCAGAGTTTTGAGTTATGTGATTAGAACAAAAATCATCCAATTGATCTCAAATATCATCATCTATCTATACGTTTAATATGTATATATTTATATAAGGACCCATAAAAAGTAGGGTTAGAGAATAGAGATGGGACCTAATTTTCACCAATGGCGCAAGGAATGCAAGGCGGATCTTTTGCTTGGTCTTGAGGAGTGATTTTTTGCAAACATTGATCATGAAAAGTATGGCCACAAGGAAGAACAGCAACTGCTGGTGGTGCTGTAGGCTGGTATACTGCACCTTCTGATGTTAATGAAAGATCCCTCTTGCATAGCAAGCATTTATATTTTGTCAATTCAGGAGGACTTGTCTCAGGATCTGGCATATAATCAAACACATTACATTAGTTAGTAGTTACCATGTCATATATATATATATATATATATATATATATATATATATATATATATATATAGAAATAGTAAGAGTAAGAAATGATAGTGTACCTTTCCATGTAATATGAGAGACTGTAGGACTAGGAGCAGCTGTCACAGGAACACGAGGTCTAAAATTTGATGTGTAAGGTATAGATGGATTCATAAGAGCACGAACATGTTGTTGAGTCTCTGATTGTGATTGGTAGATTGGTATGGAAGGATGAGCAAGATTGGCTGTTACAGAAGCAGCTGGTTTTGTGGGGAATCGGATTGGCATTGAATGATGAGTAGTTGTTGGATGTGACATCTTCTGGCGTTGAACCCAATGGGCGCCTGAAGGTGGGGCCACTGCACTTCTCTTGTGATATGGTCTCGCATAATACTCAAAATTATTAGAGAGACCATCAACAGAAGTTGTAGGAGCTTGTCCTCTAGGATTGTTAGGAAGCTGAACCATTTGAGATTGGCCTACATAAGACCAAACAAAAAAAATATCAAATATGTATGCAATATATCCAACTGTATACATACACTTCTTAGGTTTTTATTTACCATGACTGAAACGGGGACCTTGAGGATTCATCGGATAACTCACAGGTGCTGCATCAATTCGATCTGATTGTCATAAAAACGATCTCAAGAAATTAAAAAGAGAGCAAGTAGTCATACCAATAGAAGGTCGAACAACATTATCTGGATACTGACGTGTTTGACTTTGACCTGAAAATAAAAAAATTAATCTGACATGATAAGTAAGACTTAACTTGTTGTCTATAACTGTATAAAAACAGTCTTATGCCACTCAAGATACCTGCACTAGTTGTCTGCAAGCTTATTTGTCTCTCAGCAGATTGAGGGCTATCTCTCCCATTAAACTCAACTCCCAGCCTTTTTGGGAATGGGAGATCTGTTACACCTTGACCACTACTAACCCAAGATACTTGAGGAATTGCTGTCCTCTGGTTTTGTGAAAGCAGACCACCCCCAGGACCTTGGGTAGGCATGTGATTCTGTAAATAGGGATGTTTTCCTACAAGAAAACATATTGATTCAATAAGGATAACCTTAATGTAAACTGAAAACAATCACCTTGCTTACCTGCATAATTCTGTCTGGTAGAAGTAGAACCACTTCCAAGTTTGAGAGAAGAATTCATGGAACTCTCTGATGGTGACAAATCTATATTGCTTGGATAACGAACCTGAGATACATATAAGAGTATAAGCACTCCATGTTATTGAATAAAAAAAGGTTACATGAACAAATAAAAACGTACTTTTAAATTTATTTGTTACTTTCCTTTTCCTATTATAACATCGTAGCACCCAATTATAGTAATGTCATGCAAAGACATGATATTTACTGCTATGATTGAGTAGATTTTTCATGCAATAATAGGAAGAAAAAAATGAAAGTAAGATGCTAATGCTATGCATTTAGACGAATCCAAAAAGAAAATGAAGTTACCGCAACATTCAAGGTAGGAGCTGGGTGTTGCCCACGAATTCCATTCGGGCCCAAAATAGAATGTCTGGAGAGAGTTTCTTCCCTTGCACGAGGAATATTTAGAGAACTAAAGCAACAAGAAAACAAAAATCACTAGTTTGTGTATTGAGATGGAAAAGCAATCGGAAAAAGGTGAATTCAACATTGATACTTACATGGATCCTGAAATCACTAAAGAAGGGCATTGGTCCTTCAGAAAAAAGATGCAAAAGCTGACTACTAAAGAAGGGCTTCGTGGAGAAAATTGCAATCAAGCCCTAAATTGAATAGTTCTCCATTTAAAGAAAACACAGTATAGGGCTAGAGTTGATAATTTGGAAGAAAAAAGATGAAGAACAGAAGAATATGAGGTCAAAGTAACAGAATGGAATAAATAAAGGAAAATTCTTACCTTTTTCTTCGAACAGAGGGTCAATTGACTTTCAATTTTCGGTGTTAGGGCTTAGCGATTGTAAGAGGAAGAAGACAGACGTACTCTCATAGATGATGGTTGTATGCGCTTGATTTTGCAAAGACGAGTTAAAGGAAAGAACTAGGGTTTTCTTGTTGTAAGTCAGGGGAGAAGCCGAGAAAGTAATTAGAGGAGAAGGGGGGAATCGCTCAAGAAGAAAAATAGGATGTCTTCGTAAGATGGAAGGGAAAATTGGTTTAGAAGCTGGTCAAATGTAATGAAATGTTGAAATGTTTGGAAACAACTTCTCCCAAATGGTTGGAGAAGATGGTCGGAGATAGTTGGCGGTGCGAGATCGGAGGTTGGGTGGTGGTGCGATGCTGCTATGAAGACCAACGCCCTAGGGCTTTTTCTTGCTAATCGGAAGAGGCGGGGGGGGGGGGGTTTAATTTTTGGGATCCAGTATAGGCGGGTGAAATCCCGCTTAAAACGCGTGTTTCATTAAAAAATTATAAAGCGACACTCTTAGATGACACACGTTTTATGAAAGGTGCCCTCCGCTTTTTCTTTTTTTTTCTTTTCTGACACTAATTTTAGGGCACGCACAAATGCGGTGCCCTCTATCCTTCATATTTTGCAAAACTGACATTATTTTTTAGGGCACGCACAAATGCGTATCGTTTATCAGCGCATGTCATTGTTTGCGCGTCATTAAAGGGCTTTTTTCTAGTAGTGATTGACTCCTCCTAGGACACCACAGTTAAATGGTGTGACTGAGAGGCGTAATCAAACCTTGTTAGACATGTTTCGTTCTATGATGAGTTGTGCTTCACTTCCAATTCATTTCTGGGGCTGTGCCTTAGAGACAGCCACCCACATCCTCAATCTAGTCCCAACAAAGAAGGTTGCCAAAACACCTCACGAGATGTTGACATGGAAAGTTCCCTCGTTAGCACATATTAAAGTTTGGGGTTGTGAAACTCTCGTAAGACAAGAAACTCACGACAATCTAGCATCAAGAAGTGAGAAATGTTTTTTCATTGGTTATGCAAAACAGTCTTTTGGATATTTATTCTACAGACCTAGTGAGAACGTGGTTTTTATTGCACGAAAAGGAGTCTTTCTAGAAAGAGAGATCATATTCAAAGAGGACTGTGGGAGTACCATTGACCTTGAAGAGATTCAAGAGTCAACTACTAAAGGAAACTTAGATTACACTAACACTCAACCAGAGGAAACAATTCATGTTGAACCAGTTGATAAATCATTACCTCTTCGAAGATCTAATAGGGTGAATGTGCCACCTGAGTTGTATGGTTTTCATATTACTTCAGATGGTGACACATTCATCAGTGATATGACACTGGTAAATTTAGATGAACTAGTCTCTTATAAGGAAGAAATAGCAGGCCCAGAGGCTTCCAAGCGGAAAGAAACAATGGACATCGAGATAAAGTCCATATATGACAACCAAGTTTGGAATTTGGTTGATAATGCACCAGGTCGTAAGATAGTTGGGTGCAAATGGATCTTCAAGAAGAAGACATACATATCTGGGAATGTACACACATTCAAGGCTAGACTGGTTGCGAAAGGTTTCACACAAACCCCAGGGGTTGACTATGAAGAAACCTTCTCGCCAGTAGCCAAGATTAAATCTATCAGGATATTGCTCGCCATAGCTGCCTTTCATGACTATGAAATCTGGCAGATGGATGTCAAGACTGCTTTTCTTAATGGGAAGTTGGCCGAGGATGTTTATACGAATCAGCCAGAGGGTTTTGTTGATGCAAAGTTTCCCAATAGAGTGTGTAAGCTTGAGAAATCCATTTATGGATTGAAACAAGCATCTCAAAGTTGAAATCTTTGCTTCCATGAGAAAGTCAAAGAGTTTGACTTATCAAGGTGTGAAGATGAGTTCTGTGTGTATATCAAGGCTAGTGGGAGTATAGTAAATTTTCTGGTATTATATGACGATGACGTATTACTCATTGGTAACGACATTCCAACCTTGAAAGAAGTTAAGTCTTGGCTTGGAAAGTGTTTTGCCATGAAAGACCTTGGAGAAGCTGCCTATATTCTTGGGATTAGAAAATAATGAGAGATAGAAAGAAGATACTAATTGGACTTAGTCAGAGCACATACTTGGATAAGGTACTAAAGAGGTTTAGTATGGATAGCTACCTATTCAGAGCAATACCAAATTGAGTAAGACTCAATGCCCTAGTACAGATGAGGAAATAGCTTACATGAGTCGTGTACCTTATTCTTCCGCTATCAGATCGATCACGTACGCTATGACTTGTACTCGCCCTGATGTGGCCTTTACTTTGAGCATGGTCAGTCGCTATTAGGGAAACCCGGGTAGAGCTAATTGGATAGCAATAAAGAATATACTCAAGTATTTACGAAGGACAAAGGACTGGGTCCTTGTACTTGGTGACAATGATACCTTGAGAGTAGATGGTTACAGTGACGCCATCTTTCAAACAGATAGAGATAACTTCCGCTCTCAATTTGGATGGGTATATCTACTGAATGGAGGAGCAGTTACATGGAAAAGTTCGAAACAAGATACGGTGGTTGATTCTACTTGTGGATTAGAGTACATAGCAACGAGTGAAGCGTCTAAAGAAGCACCTTGGTTAAGGAACTTCATCGGGGATTTCGGAGTTGTTCCAACCATCAAGGAGCCTATGGAATTGTTCTACGATAATGAGGGAGCGGTTGCCTTAACTAAGGAACCCAGAGATCACGGTAAAACCAGGCATATCGATAGAAAGTACCATATCATCAGACATAGAGTAGAAGAAGGACATCTTGTTGTAAAGAGGGTGTCATCTGAAGATAACCCAACAGACCCCCTCACAAAGGGTCTGAGTAGGGCTAAGAATATTCAGCATGCTCGGAGCAGAGGATTGAAAGATGCTATTAGTTTTAGTAGTTATATTAGTTTAGTTCAGAAATTGTTACGAAGTAAATGTAATTGACTTTTTGTGATTAGATAATAAAGTATTATTTATGAGTTTGTTTGCTGCCTTTTGTCAATTGTTTATTATTGTGTTTCATATTTTGCATGTTTTACTTCCCGAATAATATGATTATTCAAACTCCACAGTCGCTCGATCTTTTGGAAGTAAGTAGTGAATTAAGACTGTCATGAATTGGAGACATGGCAATAGAATTGCTGCAATGTTCATGAGTATTCAGAAATTAATATTTGATTACTAGATAAACCCATGCTCAGAGTATTACTTCATGGAATTCATCACGAGTAATACTGAGATGATAATATCTATAATCTTGAAAGAAAGGTATATGAGTTGTAATTTGCAAGTCGGCTATACATTGGTGATACGAAAACACATCAGTAACTTGGTGTTATAAAACATATTGTCATGTATGGTTTGATGAGTGAAAGATACAAGCATATGATTCCATGTTTATTCGTTCCTTTTACCCTAACGGGAAAAGCAATATCTGTGGGCCCCTTGATGATTTGGTGTTGACTTATTCGCTGGGCCTAGCCAAGACTAAATTGATGTGTTCAATTAGAATTCCTATATCATCGCAAATTAGAAATCGGGAAACATAGATTCTGGACAAAGAGATTGATTATATTCCATGTTTTATGTCTAGGGATATCTAGTAGAACAAAGGGTTATATGATCACTTATCTTAGGACACGTAACTGACTGGGTCAGAGTTCGGCAGCAGCTTTTGGAAGCTACAATTTGCTGGTCAAATGTAGAAGTCATACTAGCAATTATAGTTATAGAATTATCCAAGTGGGAGACTGTTGGATTAGGTGTCTAAGCCCATAAATATAATTGGTATGTACTTGAATTGATAGCAGCACAATCCTTTTGGGTTGCCCTCAAACCTAGCAAATGGACAAGGAAATTATGAAAGGAGAGATATTGATTTATTATAAGATTAATAAACTAATATAAATGATTTATTAATATGTTAAAAGAGTAATATATTAATTAGAAATCATAATGTTTTGTTCATAGTTATCCAGAAATTAATTAGAATTAATTTTGGGGTTAACTGTATTAATTATAAAGTACAGGGACTAGTTTGTAATTATCAAATAGTTGAGTGCAGGTTCCGGAACCTCCTTGGAAGGGGGTGGACGAAATTTATAGGGGAAAATCTAATGATTTCGTCCAAGGGGGCTTGGATAAGGCCTTTGGATAAGCTTAGGCCTAAAGCAAAGGAACATTAGGGTTTTCCCTTTACCCTAGATCCCTCAA